CATTTCTAAATTTTATATTAAAGTGGGAAAATAACGGATAGCTACAAAGACTCATCTTATTAAAAGTAACCTTATCGGACGCTTCACCAATATTAATGGTTAGATGCTTTTTAACAGAAGGAAAAAGCTCATTCATGTCAACATTATAAAGATCTGCCCGAAATGTAAAAATTAGCGAGTAATCTATAGCTCTGTGAAAAACAATTACAAAATGGATATCCATGAGGATTTGTTGATAAAAACTTGGCGAAAAAAGCTACTCTGTCCCGCATCACAACAAAATGGGTTTAAATTACGAATTCAAGGGATACGCTTCATTCAAAATAGTGAATATCTGTCTACCTAAATGCATAATTTCAATCCTGTTAGTTTGTATTTAACGTTGTGGAAACCACAATATGAGAAGGATAATTAATCGTTTCTATCTACTTCCATTGGCATGTGGGATTTTGTTTGCCCCTGTGGAGCTGACTACATTTAGCGCTGTAAACGGAGTTTCTGAAAGCTCGCTACTGAAGACTATCTATTATGGTTTTTCAAAGTGAGCAAATCATAAGAAGAGTTTATGATATCAGGTCACTCAGCTGTTCGTGATTTCTCTTTTAAATTAGTATATAAGATTAGACTGAACTATAAAAAGGGTTATGCTTTCACTATTTTCGTGTGACTGAATAACTAATTGTGCATGAAAAAAGGCTGGATCTGTGGCCAAATGTTTTGCAGATTGCTGTTCCATATTACTCTTTCAAATTGATTTTATTCTACTTTCCACAATTATCACCATTACTTTTAAGATTATTTCAAACCTCTTGACGTGTGGTCTATCTCTTGATATCAATATTATTTCTTTAGTGACCCGCATACACTTTGTCCTCTTCAGCTACCCCGTTCCCGCGTATCTGCCAGTTTATACCAGCTAAACGGTTTCTGTGGTAAAATAAATTGACTTTTTACTAGATATAAATTACCAAGTACAACTTGAAATTCAAGTCACTGAAGAATACACTTCATAAATTGAGTGTGCAATTAGGCAAACTTACTGAGACTAATATGACTGGCATGAAATCGTCCATCGGGTTGATGGAATTTTTTAACTTAACTTGATTATGAAGTATATTAGCATTCGAGTGAGGGTCGGATGAAAACACAATAACTCAAGTTGGATAAAATTTCGATCCTCTGAGTAGTGATACTTTTTTTCCAATATTTTTCAAAACTTCTGTGAAATTCAACTGGTTTGGTCGAATCTCTGTGAAATATTTCTTTCACTCAGCTGCTAGCCAACTACATAGTCGAATTCAGGTCAAAATTTCGATCAAAAATAAGTATTTCGCTACAAATCCTTTTTCTTATTGATGAATAAATGGTCATATTTTTGCCAGTTAAGTAATGAACTATTCCTATTTTTGGACAACAGGTTTTGGGAAATGGGGAAGCACGTACAGAAACATACATGTAGCTCTGCAATCTATTTGACTTAATATCTTCTATTTGGTGGTACACTGACCGTTTATTCATAAGGATGGCTCATTTTTTACTTGATGGTGCATCCTAAGGCGTAAGTTGATAAGACTCATAAAACATGAATGAGATAACGAACACGCCATCAACGCATCTGCTGCTTAACGCCGCTTAAGCGTTTGACATTTCATTCATTCACAGCTAGAATGAGATTCGAAAAGATATCAAAAGAAGTACCTGAAAATGGTTGACATAAGACAGTAATGAATTAATACCATCGGTTTTTCGTTTTATTATTGAGTCACATATATTTCTTACGACACAGAACAAGGAAGGCGTGTGACAACATACATCTATCTCCAAATTGATATTCGTATATCTTTCGGCGGATGGGAAGCATTGTTGTTCCGATTCAGTTAGGTCTTACTTTGTTAAGTACTCTGGTGGTTTAACTAATCTTCGGATTTGAATTATCCGGGATAGATTTCGACACCACTTGAAGCATGATCCTCATTACTGTTACAAAAGTCAATGCTTTCGGTTATACATATATATTGTTAGTGACGTATCATCTGAGCAACTAGACTGTATACCAAGGATCAACGACATACCAACAAATTTCCTGCCTGCCTTTTCCTTCAGTAGCTCAGAAAAACTAGAAAGCCATTCGAAAATTCTCAGTTGTAGGTGATTTATTCGTGATCATAGGTCCTTGCTGTTCTTGAATATTATTTCCGAAATTTCTCACTTAATAAAGCGGCAACATAAAAAAGGGATTCCATGTAAACGTATGCGGCTTTTTGCATCTTTAATTCTACACAATTAAGCCAAATCAGTATTATATTCAATTTTTATTCATAACCAGTTTCTCAGACTAAGTACCTTCTATTGTAACCTTCAGAATTTCAGCGTAATGCTTGCAAAGAAGTATCTATAGTTCATATCGATTATGTTAAGGCCTTGGTTTAAAATTTTTTAGCACACCGACTGACTCACGTAACTTAACATGGATTCAAGAAATGTGAAATAACAATTTCTTAGAAAAAATGAAATTTTCACGTCATATGCTGTGGTCACCAAGCTGAGATTTTTTGTCGACATTCCATTATGCACAATCTCGACTAGTATGGGCATGATGAAAACAACCACATAAAATTGGATAAGACCCTACGAAGGTGTTCTGAAGTCTGTATGAAAGACAAACCAATCGTAAGGATTTGTGTTTGTAGGAAATTCGTTAATGACCCAATATTACGTGAAATGTCCAAGAAGTGTAGTAGTTATTTCACTGTTATATTCAAGTGTATATACGTTTTCATATAACGTAAACCTCAAAACCCATTCGTAATTTTTCTAGTTCCTATCAAGTGGAATGAAAAAAACATTGTTGAGAAAATAATCTATTAACTACCTCAAAAATCTAAACAATTGGAAGAATTCATGGAAAATGCACATTACCCATTTCGTAAAATAATCTCTGACCCAAGCTAGGACAATTCTTGTTTCTAATAACTCGTGTAAAAGACATCATTTTGGCATTTTAAGGTGGCAAGAACCAATGTCGATTTATCCGGAGTTAACCTGACTATAGTGAGTGAATTCTGATTGTCAATATCTTTTTACAGTCATGACCAAGCACACTCGGAGTATTGAATTTATGCTTCGTAGAAAGTTTTTTATTGTTTAAATGTGGCAAGAGATCACCAGGAATTGACAGTGAATATTTACATATCTCAGGTGAATAATTTACTTCTACTGAAATAAGAACCTGGTCACCAAATTTATGGCTACTTAATGTGTCATTAAGAAAAATTAGCTGCTTAGAAAAGGTCAAATCATTGCATTATCAAATCCGGTCTCAATTAGTAAGTGAAATGTAATCACAAAACTGATTGCTCATTTATTGAGCTGCAAGTGAAATTAGACGCTATGAGCAAAATAATAACCTTACAGACTGGATGTCCAAGATTGCCTGACAAAGGCTATTCTGAAGTACATAAAAAGTTATCAACTTGAAATAATGAATCGCATAAGCAGATACTACCTGAGATTTATCGTAGCTCAATACCTATTCAGTGACTATTGATTGATAAACGAACACAATATTTTTGAAAGACATCCCAATGACCGGCTTTGTGAAAACTATGAACTAAGCATTCTAGAAATGAATAAAAACCAGAAAAGTAGTTTGATTCACAGCTGTGTCAACTAAGAGACGATTTTTGACCAGGAAACGACTTCGTGCTAATGAACTCAGATATACTTAGTGCACCAAACCGGGTGGCATTAAGATTTGATTGAACTAAAAACATTGCAGCCGCATCAATGTCAAAATCCAGGTTCATTGTGTAACACTAGTTTGTAATAAAATAACATCTTATATCAATATCATAAGAATTTGAAGAAGTTTCGGGTTGAAAGTCTCCGTATCACTATCGCAAGAAGAGGGAAATATAAATATAAGGAACGAAACAACTTTTCATCATCAAAGTTAAACTAATTATCGTTTTAATTTAGTTGCCTTGAGTAAGCAACAAGTTTGAAACATGAAAGAATAAAGAAATAATTGAGTTAGCTGCAAGTTTCTGTCAGACATTTCACAAAACTCTCAAGTTCAAATCTTATGGACGCAATTTCAAAATGAATTCCTCACATAGTTTATACACTACTAACCATAACCTGTATATCAGAAAACCTACTCTCCACTAGCAGTTCATATTCAGCACTGCACTGTCGAAATGTACTGAGATTCCACGTTTGTACTGAGATTAAAATGCAAACGTTTAATAGTAATACGAGTAACTACCCCAAATTTCATCCCCGTGGAATGGTTGATGAAGCAGAATTCTCTGTGACACCACTTCTACAGTATGTACTTTAGCTACCTTAAAACACTTGTCCTACTTCTCAAAATCTGAATGTGTTGAGCTGAGATAGGCAATGATGATAATTACATTTTATGTCGACTGAGAACTAATGTGTACATTTCATGACTCTAAAGAAAAGATTGGCGATTGTCCAGATTTCTCACTAACAGTCTGATATCATAAGACTAACAAACGCAAATATTAATGAACTAAACCAATCACAAATATGAATTTTGACAAAAGTTCACATTCATGATAACACAAGACATTGATTCCATTGGCACAAATGTGATAAAAATAATACACATTTTGTCTTGTAATGGTTTATCATAGGCTCAGTTAAAATATTTGACTGATAACGTTTTCTTCAAAAGCAACATTGAACCAATATTTATCGATTGACAAGCTGATACAATTGTGAATTTATTTAACAAAAAATAGAAATGGTCCGTGAAATATCAGTTAAAAGTTTCTTCGAACAAACAATATGCTGAAGTTTATCCTGCATCACATTACAAGACGAATATATGCAACACAAAAGAGACAAATATTGTTCATTTTATATCACAAGCAACTCTAAACGTTTTCATTTACATTGACCTAAAACAAGAAGAGGTATTCGCACAACAAATATATATATATATATATATATATATATATATATATATATATATATATATATATAGCGATTGATTTTCCGCAAAAGTAATCAACTGTCATAAACAGAGTACTCACATAAGTAATATGAAACAAGAAAACAATGATTTGGATATGATACAATGAACATGGGTTAAAATATTGACGAAATTATGAAGTATACTAGTGAAGACTAGATTTTAAAAATGAATGTGAGCAAAGCAACAGACGAACTTTGTTCTCCACCTACATGATCACAATCCGTTTGCGTACACACGGAAGTATGCAGCAAAAACGTAAGACAAATAAAGAAATTCTACATTCTGTAGTGTAAAAACAGAAATAAAACAGGAATGAAAGGTGGTGCAAAATAAGTGTGTAAAATCTAAAGTCAACCTGTAGAAAAATGTCATCTCAAAAGTGCCAAGAAGTCAAAAATATGCTGCAAAACGACTAACACCGAGACATGAAGACTTGAAACATAATGTAATTACAGAAAGCTTATGGGAGGCCGATGACCAAGGGATCAACCGGACGTTATTGGATTCAAGAATTCGAGTCTGGATTTCCGAAAAATACGCTGAAAGCAAATATTAAGAATGTCACTCCCCCAATGAAGGTAACTAAAAAAAAATAGACAAACATACGAGAATTAATAAATTAAGGTGCATATGAGTAGAGGCACAGCGACGCACAGTCACATGGAAAAGTGAAATGACTCAAGTTGTCACAGCTTTCAACAACACTAAGATGAAGAAAACAAAATACACATATTTAAGTGAACCCTCAACATCCGCGTATATAAAACAAATAGATATAAAATAGTAATTTCATGCTAAGTCTTCTTTTCAGCGGAAAACACTGATGCACGACGTTATGAACTACAGATTCCAATGTCATATGAGCTGTGGATTTAAGTGTGGTTAGTGTACCGACCTGAAGCCTGTCTAATTCTATTGTTTCAGCTTACTTCTGAGGTGTAATGACTGTAACTGAACAAACGCATGCAAACTTCCATACTGAGCTATGCTTTACAGCTCTTTTATGAAGGCGAAAAGTGAAACTTAGTTGTCTGAGCGTCATCAGGTATAGCGTGTTTTGAACGCGTTGCACACCAACAGGAAACTGAGTGACAAACGGACTCCAACCTGGTGATCAGGAATACTAGAAAGTAGAAATCGTGGGACTGACTTACTTTAGGTTATCATAACAGGATTGTTCTTTCTAACTAGGATGATGAACGACGGAAAACTCTAATCAGTTGAGATAACAATCTTAAGCTGTCATCTATAGGTATTATTGGCTGAACACTTTATTGTCTACTATTTCTTGCCTTTTATGGCTTTTTCTACCTTAGTATAAACTGAGAAATCGATGTTAACGTCTAATTCATATATGACAGGTAACCAAGAAAATGACAGAAGGCTTTAGGTATTGAATCTACTGGTATATTTCACTTACGGTTGCACAGCTGTTCAACATCGTGTGAACAACGAAGCTAGGCGTAGGATTTTCAGCAAGTAAATTAAATCAAGCTGTGAACTTGTGTCGACTGAATAAGTTGTATATTTCGACATACTGCATACAGTAAAAAAAGTGAGAAAATCCCCAACGTACCGATTTGAAGCACAAAACTAACCAGCTATTTCGCGAGTGGAGCTCTTAAGGATAGAATATATCTGTGGTTGGGAACATTATGTTACATAGTTCAAGGATGCTTAGATCAAATCACCAATCGTCAAGTTTTGGAATGTGCCAACTCTGACACACAATATTTCTAAACTTAGTAGTGGCATTCGAGGTGTTATGGGGTATCCAGCTAAGAAAGGGGTACCAAGTAAGTATATAACGCTAGCTAGAGCTCTCTACTTAAAATTCCGCAGTCGTGTCAAGGCTCATGAAGAGCTGTCATCTGAATTGACGACAACTAGTGTCTACAAGCAATGCCCGTTGTCACCATTCGAGTTCAACTTAGTTATAGATTTATTAGTGGACAAAACCTTAAGTATGTCTAACTTCACAGGGGTTGATCTTTTCCCTGAAGGTCATCTGGTTAACTTGGAGTACGCAGATGACATTGTCCTGCTAGGTGAAGACAGTGACAAAAAGCAGGGTATTCCACAAGCGTTGAGCAGAAATCTGAGTTGTTTTGGCATGCATTTTGCACCTGTCAGATGTAAGACGGTGTTTAAGAAGTGGTGTGCAGCTACTCCCAGTTTAAGGATAGGGAGTGAAGTGGCGGAATATGTCGACCACCTAACTTACTTGGGAAGCTGCATCAGTTCGAACGGGTTGGCCGCCCACGAAATCTCAGCTCGGATACGAAGGCTCATTTTGACATTTATCAACTTAATTCATCTCTCGCACTAGCGAGATTTCCAAATTCATATCAAGGGACGAGTACACTGCGCTGTAGTCTGTTTTGTCCTGTTATACAGCCGAGACGGCCGCTGAAAGTAAAAGATCTGAAGTGGTCCCTGGTTTCCGACCACAGATGACTTCGCAGCATCGCTCGTGTATGGTGGAATCACCATGTTAGCAATATCAAGGGGAGGTGAAGGGTACTGGGCAAAGCAGACAAATTAGTCAGTGACGTCATGAACCTTCACCGACTGAAGTGGCTTAGACATGTCTTCCGCGTATCGAGCCATCATCTACCTCGACGTGCAATGCTAGCAGAAGTTGGATTAGATCAGAAGTCTTGGAGTGGTCAGACTAAGATTTCGCACCAGTTGGTGATGCCTGTTTCTTGATCTGAACCGTGTTCGGAGATTTAAATTGGATAGTTGGATGCTCGAGATGATAGTAATCAATGGTTGGAGACCCTTAGTGATCTGACTGAAAATCGGTCATAGTGGTGCACATGTATTTACTCTTTGACATCTTCTAAAACTTGAATATTTACACCAACCTTCATCTTCAAGTAGTTTCTTTTACGATATAGTTTTGTCTACTTTGATATCAGTTTTTTTCTATTCACTTGTTCTTTGATTGCTACTGAGAATCACGGCAACATCAACCTATGCACTTGTATGCGATGTCCTACGTTGATTTTCTTCGTCTGTCTGTTTGACATGGATCAAGATAGATACTACTGGTGTTGCGTAAACGCTGTTTATTTCACACCAGAGCTTGACAGTGTATTATTTCGAATTCGCATGTTTTCATTATTGTTAATCTCTTTCCTGTGGGTTGCAAGGGTAGCAATGCACTATTCATGTCAAGTTGTGTCTGAAAATTGTTTGTTCATCTCAAAAATAAATACCATTGATTCGATGGGTAGTAGAAATTATACGCTAGAAACCTCACATTTCGGAGTGAGGGTAGTTGACGAAAGCTGAGAAATGTGTAATCTGTCCATAAAATATGATTATCAAGAACTATAATTCATTCTTCTAAACCGTTAAATATTGTTCAGCACCGGACTTTAAGTCCATTAGCTACATGTGAAGAAAAATTGAATATAACGTAGAAAAATTTACACATTGCATATCTGAAAAAAAGCAATGAGAATGTATGAATACTATCTCTTCTTAAGAGTGGGAGCGCTCTCACTTTTACGTAAGCGAACTAATCATCTTTCTCCTTCTTACTATCAGTTAGCCTGCTTGCATATGCTAACTGCATGAGGAACTGAAGTGTAAAGACGAAATTTTCAAATAGCTGAACAACTTCGATTCACTTGACATACTCAATACTACACCTGTATAGTTACGTATTACTTTACTTATGAGAGGAGGATGTAATGAGCTGACATTTGAATTATATATATATATATATATATATATATATATATATATATATATATATATATATATATATCACAATAGTACACTGCTACGCATCTACAAATAATGCAGACGAAGGGAAGGAGGAATTCTACAAACAACTGCAATCAACACTGGACAAGACCTCAATTGGTGATATCAAAATTCTAATGGGCGACATGAATGCCAAACTGGGAGGGGACAACATAGGAAGAGAACTAACCATGGGTCGAGAAGCGCTCGGTGAGGTGATGAACGAGAATGGAGAATTGTTTGCAGAATTCTGTGCATTCAACGATTTGGTGATTGGAGTCAGGCAGTGTGTTCAGGCACAAGGATATCCACAAAGCGACATGGATTTCACCAGACACCAGGACACACTAAAAATCAGATCGACTTTATCTCAATCTCAAGAAAATGGAGACGCAGCCTACTTCACACAAGGTCAAGGAGAGGAGCAGATGTAGGTTCACACCACTCACTGTCTAGTGCAGGGAACCTACCTTCCAATTCAAGTTGAAAGCCTTCAAGAAAGTTGGTGATAGACCACAGTTCAAGTCCAACATCCAGAACAGAAACTCAAGGACGAAAATAAAAAATCTTCACGTCAATTAGCCATCAAGACAAAATGGGAGATATGGAGGAACATCCCTGAAAGAATCTGTGTGGACGAACACTGGAAGTCTTTGAAAGCTATGTGGAAAGAGACCTGCATAACCGTATTAGGAAGGAAGAAGAGTACAATGTATAAAACACTTCACTGGACAAAGAAGTGAAGAAGAGTGCACACATAGACAAAAGACACTTCTACGATACACTGGCAAGTGAAGCAGAACAGGCTGCAGGTAGGAGATAGAGACCTGACAACACTGTATCAAATAAACAGGTTACTAACTGGTAGGGAAGAGATCAACACAGATGAAACCAATCAAAGATGAAGGAAATTTAATTACCAAAGAAGAGAAACAAAGGAAACAATGGGCCGACCACTTCAAGCTCTTGAATCGACCACCACCTGCACTCCGTCCAGAAATACCACCTGCAGCCACACAACTACAAGTGAACACAAGCCCTCCAACGAAAGTCGGAGTTCTGAGCTCCATAAAGCTACTGAAATGCGGGAAAGCAGCAGGACCAGATGGAATCCCGCCAGAAGCACTGAGAACAGACGCAGAGACAACAACAGACATGCTCACACCACTATTGTAGAAGGTCTGGAAGGAAAGGAAGGTACCTGTTCATTGATTGGAAGAAGGGCTACCCTGTCAAACTTCCAAAGAAGGACGACGTAATTCTTTGCAAGAACTGGCGCAGAATCACGCTCCTGTCCACCAAGAGCAAGCAAAATATGAAGTCGTATCACCCTGGAGAGATTAAAGGATGCGCTGGATTCAAAACTACGACCGGAACAGGCTGGCTGGATTCAGGAAGTACAAATCATGTACGGATCAAATTGCAACGCTACACTACGCATCATCATAGAACAGAGTATTGAATGACAGTCAACCCTCTACCTCAACTTCATCGACTTTGAAAAGGCTTTTGACAACGTCGACCAACAAGTAATTCGGCAGTTGCTTCAACACTATGGTTTTAGTACCACAAACCTTCATCAATCTCATTCAAAAGCCAGCTATATGAAGACGCCACATGCCAAGTAATTCACAATGGAAAGCTCAGTGATGCTTTTGAAATGAAGACAGGAGTAAAACAAGGTTGTCTACTATCACCCATGATATTCCTGATTGTGGTCGACTGGATCATGCAACAAACAGTGAGGAGCGAGAAGAGGGGGATACGCTGGCTGGACCGCGGAAAAGAGCCTCAGAGATTCACATTTCGCTGATGACTTATAACTAATGTCACACAAACTTGAAGATTTACAGGCGAAAACTAACAAGTCGGCAGAAGCGGCGAGGCAGCCAAGATGGGACTTCAAGAGAACGTAGAGAAGACAGAGGTAGAGGTGGTGAAAATACCCAACTAACAACAACAGCAACAAGCTCTTATCACCATAAACGGGAGGAATCTAAAGGAAGTAGCCTTTTTCACCCATCTAGGCAGCACTGTTTCAACGACAGGCGACACAGGCACAGACGAGGATGTCAAAGCCAGCCAGGATCGGAAAGACAGCAAGACAGGCGTTCATTAGCCTGAAACCAGTGTGGAGATCTTCTGCACTCAGTATGTGGAACAAGATCCAGATTTTCAACACCAACGTCAAGTCACTTCTTCTGTATGGCTCAGATACGTGGCACGTTACGGAAGGCATTTCCAACAAACTACAGACATTCATCAACAATTGCCTACGCTGGCTCGTTACTGAAACTCAGATGGCCAGAATAACGAGAATAAGCAACAAGGAACTCTGGCTGCCTGGCAACGAACCAACCAAGAACTCATCACTCAACAAATATGCAGAAGGAAGTGGAGATGGATTGGGCATAGACTGAGAAGGCTGACTGGGGACATCACGCGCCAGGCCAGGCCCTCGAGTGGAACCCAGATGGGAAGCAACGAGTTGGGTGTCCGTGGTGAGGGTGACATGGAGGAGATCGTGCGAGGAGGAAATAAGAGCTTCTGTGCTGTTGTGGAGCCAGGTTCAAAGGACTTGGGAGAACGGAGCGCACTGGAGACGTGCTACTGAAGCCTTATGTTCCATTAGGAACCCAAGACACAAATAATAAATTATATATATATATATATATATATATATATATATATATATATATATATATATATACTTTTTGCCAGTGTTGATCTTTTATAAAACTTTGCGAAACCTCCAAGAGAAGTTGAAAAATATAATGAAACTCCAAAGAAAGGTCACTGTGAGAGGTAAGTGAGCTGATGCATTTTTCGATTTTAACTCACTATCTTGCAGTAGCCAGTCGAAAAGGATGGAATCGTAATCAAGCAACTATATGCATTTCTGTGAATTAGGTAGTGAACCGCACCACTTATGTTGGGGATAATTATACTACCTGGTTTCACAGGCCTTGGCAGGGGGAGCACAGTTCAAACCCGTCACCCATCAATTGAAAGTTGAGTGCCTAGACTACTGAACTACAGCTACAATCACAAGGAACCAGTAAGTAATATCAGCACAAATATGTAGAACGTTCGCCGTGAGATGATAAAGGCACACATTGTAAGTGAAAGCGTTAGATAATTAGGCAAATTTACTTACTCCACTGTACAGGAATGCGCTGAGCAACAAAACGACCCATTAGAACAGCAAAACCTGTGCACAAGGCGTGGCCTAGAACTCCACCAACGATGACGCCCAAAGCGCTCTGCAAGTAACATTAAGAGAGAAAATGCTAAGAGTGATTTACTATTGAGATCGATCTTATTTTTCGACATTGGGACAGTAAACCAAACTAGGCTGCATTAAACTTCATAGCTATGATGTACTTATTTTAAAGCTTGACTGGAAATATTACAAGCATTTCAAAATTATTATTCTGAACATGTCATATCTAAAGTCTCAAATATATTTACAAGACCAAGATAAGTGACTAAGCAATAAAACCCATACAAATGTCATCCTCAAGTACGCCTCAAACTTTATATAAGTAGATTTCATAAACTTGTTTAGGGGCGATTCGCAAACATCAATTGGTCACTAATACTATGTTGTCTAAATGCGGAACGAATTTCATTGGTCAATTTTCGAATGTGATAATCAAAATAAGAGATTCATCATCATGGTGTACATTGATTTTTTGGGTAGCTGGAAGGAGCCAACAGGAATTTCTGGAACTATACCAGCGCCCATCAGCAAGGTGCAACTGCACGCCAAAGTCACTAGTTTTCAAGAGCCCAGAGCTTTCTGTAGATCACTAATTGCCTAACATGATACAGAAATATAAAACAGGTGTCCTGTTACTTTCGCATATGATTATGAGCAGTACTTTAAAATGTCACTACTCACAAAAATAAGATGACTCTAGAAGAAAACACAAGTACACGCAGATTTCTGCGGGCGTGAAAAGATACTGATCAAAAAGTATGCAAATCCAAACGTGGCTAGAACCAACACTCAATAGCTAAACTGATCCAATGATCGGCTATGGTTATCAAACTTCAACACAATAATAGTAGTAGTAATAATGATAAAAATAGATGAGGTAATGCAGTACAGGAAGATAGAGCTCCATGTACTACATAATAAGCTCAATTTACTGCGTGAATGGTTATGATACAAGAATGTTGACCGAGCAGAGACAGACACAGTAAGGTTTGAACCTGAAACGGATTGCGTGAACACTAAACGCTTGAGACACTGTTCTGCATATTTTGATTTGGCCATTAATCAAACCCTGCACCGACGACGGGTAAAAGACACACAACATATCTACTGACGGGTAGTTCCATGATACACGAAAAAGATTGATATATTGACAACGCAAACAGCATTACTACGCCAAAATTCATTTGTCACATCTCAGAGCAGCACACCAAGCTTGCCAATATAACAAAGAAAAGACAGAAAAGTATGGAAGAAAGAAGATAAAAGTGGCAAAAAGTCGTATTTACGGAAATGAAGGTCGCATTCTACTCTGGTTATTGAGGCCTTATGGCAGTGTCACTCACTGAAAGGAGTGCTAGGTGAGCACATTACCCTGACAAAGGCTACGTACTGGAACAAACTTGAGTGTTTGAGCCCATGGTGAGTTATCGAGTGAGTTGTGTACGTCAAGTGTGTTTACTCTCTCGATCATCATTTGCTTTTGTCATGGACATTCTTATGGAGGTTCCTTCTCCTTGTCTGACCACCAGGATAAATTGCATCACAGGAGACTCCTTCGTAGACCTAGTGTATAGAGATGACACGGCCCTCTTACGTTGGGAAGATACAGTCTTTTGAAATAATTGAGAATGTTTGAGATAAGTTTCTCATCATTCGAATGCAGATTGTAGCGGTAGGACTGGTCTACGTCACCACAGACTCATTGGTTTAGGCCCTTGACATTCGTCTAGTGGGGCACAGTTTCGAGACCCACTTCACCTACTGGAGTTGAAGTAGTCAAATATTGTCAGTAGCTCCGACACAACCAGTCCACCTCACTGCCCACTGCACAAACATGCACAAGGTTGCTAGGTACATTTTCTTTCGTTTGCACCGTCCAACAATAAGGAGTTTCGTTTTGTGCACCAGCAACTTTACCTGGAGAATCAAGTCAGCCCTAGTGGATCAGAGACCGGCGAAATCTTGACATGGATACCAAAAGTTCACTTAAATTTTGTCAACTTACGCCATGTGGTACCGCCATGACATCCGACTGCTTACTAAAGGTTAAGTGTACCACGCTGCAGTTAGATCTGTATTAGTACCTGGCTGCGAAACACGACCATCAAAGGTGGAAGATGTCATGAGGCTTCCTCTGTCATTGTAGCACAGGAAATGTCATGGTGCCGCCACAGCGATGCAGAAGTCAGGCGTAGAGTTTCGGGTAGAACGAATCCAGTTGATGAGGTTGTGAACCTTCATCGATTCAGGTGGCTAGGACATGTGATGCATGCCTAGTCGCCGTTTGCCCCATCGGAGTTAGTAAGTTAAGGTTGAGAAAAGGTTAGAGGCGGCCAGACTAAAACATGCAGTCAGTCCGGGATTTCTTCAACTGTTGTTCTGAGCTTCGTACAGAAATTTAGTTGTCTCGGTTGGTATCTGTGTGATAACCAAGACCCATGGTTGAAGACTCTAGGTGACATGACTGAAAATCGATTTCAATGCCGCAGATGTATCCATGCAGTATATTCATCCTAGTCGTTATCTTGAATTCGAGTATTGTCTTATTCCTTCATGCACTGTTTCGACGACTTTCTACCAATTTTGTCTGCTTCCTTCCTTATTTTCCTACCTTTTCTCCATTACATTTACTAGTTTTGTTTGCTGCTTTGAGGTACGATAAAGTGAATTGTGGCGTAGTAACTCCAGGTGTCATGTCAGTGTTGACTGACGCGTAACCAGATACATTTCAGAATCGAAGCATTAATCGATATTTAACTTAGGATAGCTATCCTCCTGTTAAAATTTGTTTTAAGAGTAATGAAAGTTCTTTGAGCAGGTCTTTTGGCACTAGTTTCCGATCATTGGTTTAGGAAGTTGAAATTTAACTAGTGGGTAGCCGGTTTAAACACTGCTACACTCACCGAGATTTGGGCAACCAGGCAGTATCATCTGCCTTCACAAAGTAGGTGTGGCTCATTGCCCAGTGGACGGGTGTCTACAAGGTTGTTAATTGGATTTCGATTCGATCCCGACTTTTGTGACTCTTCCTCATTTTCGCTACTACACACTTGTTACATTGTCGCATATTTCTTAGCAGCCATATGCTACCGAGCTTGTGAAATAACAAACTTTCACACGGAAATCACCTTTGTCCTTTCGACTATTTAGTGCGGTGGACAGCTTTTCTTGCTAAATTCCATGAATGAGAATTAGGACATTCAACACAATTTAGCTACTTTATTTAACTGTTTGTAACGTGAATACAGAATGTCTATTTTTACTTGTGCAATGAGTAGCTTCGCTTCTTGTCAACAAGTCCTACATAACTATTTCAAACCAACACCAAAATGCTCACTGATTAAACTGAAGATAAAAATGCAGCACCCTGCGAAGACAATAAGTTGGAAGTCCTCATAATGGTGGCATAATGCTGTTGACATATAATGCTCTACTCATCTAAACAGGACAGACTAGAACTGAAGTGTAACTCGTATTTTTAGGCTTCCAACAAGACAAAAGTAGATGGCGGTTACAGAGAAGTATGTCATAAACTCAACTATTAGAGGAATGAAATCTAACATTTAATGCTGACTGTCTTGGTAGAAGTATCAAACAAATACGACAAAACTGAGACAAAGACCAATGTAAAATCAATTATACCATTAAAAAAACCGAAAGGGTTTCGTACATTCACAACCTTCTCACTTTTAACTGACAAAATATATCTACTTATTCTCGAATAAGAACCAGAAATATGTCGGCGAAGATGTATTTCTTTTCAACGAGAAAGAAAAAGAAATTTTCTTCGTTGATACGTGTTTTGTCGCTTTTAGCTGTTTGTCAATACATCACAATTAGAGAGGACTTTCTCCAAACGTAGAAGAAAATCTCTTACCTTTGTGGCTGCAAGCACAATTGTGGTTATTTGAGACCTATCACCCCATTCTGCCAAAAATGTGAGAATGAACGCTTCTACGAAAACTGGGGTGAGTATCTTCTTAGTTCCCAGCCATATTCTGGCGAAAAATCCTCGAGAAGCATCCTGTAGTGTATATGCTGCTTCTACGTCACCCAATTTGGACTGTGTGAGCTGCGAATGAACTTCATCAAACTCTTCTTTGGCTGAACTGGAAGACATTGTATATGCTAAGCAATAATATGGCAACATTGTAGGGCATACCTTCATAGAGCATCTTGAGACCAAATATAAGAAATAGAACACCAGATGCATAGAAAGTTACAAAACGTGGTACGATAGTAGTAGCATAGCCAAGGAGTGCTGCAATACATGCATTAGGAATCCCAGTGATTACCTGATAATAGTGTCATTGTGACAAGGGCTAGCATTGCTCCACAGTAAACCAAAGTACGTGGATGCTGCATAGACATAATGGCAGCGATGAAAAATGTCTTGTCACCGAGCTCAGAAATGATAATAACGTAGAAAGACGATGAAAAACCAGAAAAGAATAAATCCCACAGCGAATTAGGTTCCTGAGATTTTGGTTGATCCATTAGTATATTCGACATTTTTTCAGAAGTGACTTCAGAGGACATTGTGCTATTACACCATAAAATCAAAAAAGGGAATATGACAATCAACTTTGACATGTTTACAGCTGAAGTAACGCTACAACTGAATGATGCGCTCCATCATCAATCTAAAGACTTCAGCGCAGCCATTTCATTTCTTTCTAGTGTTTTTCTTCATGAAGATCTATCTCTTCCTTGAATTTTCTCAGAAGTTATGACCATCAATTCTCGTAAAGATTGTCAGTTTTTCATCACTCCACTGAGAACAGTTACTTTATATAAAGATGACATAATTTAAGCTTTTGAATCTTTTGCTGATAGCTTCTAACGTTGCCTGCTATAAACTGGATAACAGTGTTATACCAGCTCATACTTAAGTTACCACTCAAGGTAGGAAAGGACAAAATTAGACAGCCTTTTCCTGAGACAAGGGGTATATGTTTTTGAATCATAAAGTCTCATCGTCAGAGTGTGAATCTAGTTCAGCTCCAAATGTGTAATCCTCTTCAGCTATATTAGGAGTCTGGACGTATGGAATACCTGCCAAGTTTGCACAGTTGAATTTAATTCCAAAGAATGTCTTTCACATAACCTAACTGCCATGGGGAAAAAATCAGCGAAAAGCTGTGAACAAAGAAGAAGGACAGTTGGTAGTTATCTCTATGTCGTGGCTGGTGAAAACTCTGATGTATTCGTCCTCTAAAATCTCATGTCACGCAGTGGCTACAAAAGAAGCCACACACTTATCAGAAAAGTAACTACCACAAGAACCCAAACAATGTGACATCCGAAACCATCAACGTCTATGACAAACTAGCGCAAGCCCGTTGCTAAATCGGCTCTCTAAATGCAGATTGTAGCTAAGTAATAAAAAATCCAAACGCTTAGTTGAGGTAATGAGATTCCTTTAGAAGAGAATGACATGCCACCTGCAAGGAAGACATAACAAGAACCAGATAAACTATTTTAAAAGTGGTGGGGAGCCAAGACCTCCGATCAACCCCTCAGTTGAGTTCATTGACCCCACAGCCCAGATTAGTTCTCGCACAAACTCAATAAAATGAATACAAGTGGTCATTTAGAATGGATACAGCAGGTAAAAAAAGGAGTAAAAAAGCAGAAGCGTGACAAATAACACAGAGAGCCGGTCAATCGAGCAGAAGTGACGAAGTGGGCAATTCGATCTCACTACGAAGGCAGCCCTTTGGATGTGAAGACTAACACAAACAAGGCGAACAGACACAGCACATCTGGAACCATCTCCCGAGCTAGTGGGGCTTCTCCAACTCTCAGGATCCATCTGCCAACAACTCATGGAAGTGATGCGATTGAATTTCGCCACAGATATGGATGTAACCTTCCTACAATTCTACGACGTTTTTTATCGGTAAAATCTTGCATGCCGCATCTCATACTGCCTCCTGAGGCCCTGATCACAGCATTATGAAATCCCCGTCGTCACTCACCCTTTTCACCAAACCAGTAGCATGCCGCTAAATAGCACCGAACTCCTGCCAAGTTTAAGCAACACTTCATCAGAAACACGCAGATACACTGATATACGGAAAGTACCCCAAACGGTAAGGGGTCACTAAGTGAAAAATGGGATACCGGCACTCTCGACTGGGAGGCTAGACAGCTTGTCAGACCCCCTTCAGCCTTCGTGTCGTAGTTTTGTCGGCAGAATAGCGAATCAGCGTATACGGCTTAACTCCTGAGTGAATATCGTGACCTGTGATTCTTTTCAGCCTCCTTTCGTTATTGTAGGCTGCGACGCATCACTAGAAACTAAGTTTCCACTTGATGAGAAGTGAGCCTATTCACTTAAATAAATAAATGTTTTATTCCCGTGTTAAAAAAAGGATTTTAACATGAGAGAAGCCGGTTTACAGGCTTCATCACGTTGATACGTCTCAAAATATCTACAAGACGTGAGCCGTGAGTGGTACTGACGGAATGTCATTAAACTCAATTAAAAACACTGCCGAAGGTCCTGCTAGTTATGAAATGAACAAGGAAATATTACTTTACAGCGTACATAGGGTGTTAAAGTTTAGATAATAGTAAATGTTGCCTTCATTTAACAGGCTTAACATGAGGGAAATCAGTTAACAAGCACCGTCGAATTCATGACTTTTGAAAGTAGCTAGTATTAAATAATTTACATATCAAGTCATTAGTGTGCATAATCTTATTGAAAGTTGCTGAAATTCATGAGACGGATATGGATTCCCATCTCCCATCACATGGATGGTTCCATTATCAATATCAAAAGCGCGCAGTGTCCAAAGTTTGCGCAGTAACCAACCGACGTTGTTAGTCCATTCGCGTAGTTTGCTGATTATTGATATAATAGTTTGTTACTTAGAATGATCTTCAGTTTTTAGTTTGCTAACCACAAAGGACCCAGTTATACAATCTGGAGTATCAGTAAAGTATCCACAGTTATATAACCAACGTGTATGGCTATATCAATGCATATCCAGGTCACCATGTTACTTTTAAAGGTGATATAGATTAATTCTGCTGGGAATACTTGTTGTATTGGGTGAAAATAGGTGTTGAAACAGTCAATAGTCCATAGACTTCGAGCATCTTTTGTATTAGCATAGGCGGCATCATTCGAGAAGTGTATTTGATGCGTAGTAAGTTCCATATGAAAAGGTCTCTTGGTACAGAGTACTAGAAAATGTCTAGTGTGGAGCCATTGCAGGTAAGTGACGTCCTGAGCCAATATTTTAATTGGTCTCTGGTTTAATCATCTGTTCATCTGTTCAGAATGCCTCTGTTACTAATACTGTTGGGAATGGTCAGACGGTTCGTCGCAAGAAAAATCATGACGAGTAGGCGAGTTAATCTTGAAGATGGTCCAGAAATTGCGAAGGAGTGGGAGTAGTCCAGTAATTATTGGCGTCAATGAGCAGGCGTTATTCCCATAAAGTAATCACGTTTAGACTGAATTTGAACATGAAATGTCGACTTGCAGCTGTTTCTGCAAATGGGGAAAGAAAGGAGAGGCACGAGCAGATATGGAAATACAGGTTACTGCGCTACCGAATTTGAAGAAGAGAAAGGTCCCCATCCTTTTTTTGATTTATTCCGACTTGATGTACATTTTCATGTATATATGTTAAGTCAACTACATAGTCCTTCCATTATAGGGTTATTGAGTCGTTCTTTTGGGAGGGAGGGTGTACCGTAGTGGCTTTCAGAAATAAACAGTATTCTTTAAGTTCATTATACGGAGAGGAGCCGATATTCATACCCTTGTATGCAATCGTGGGGCCATCTGCATTACACGAACTTCCCTGTTTTCTGTACCGAATCGCTACCCGATCCTAGGAGGCCGCTTAGGTTTGTGTTCGCATTCTCTCATTTCATCTAACCTTGACTAATCCGAAGTCAGAGGCTCCCCACGAAGCTCCATTTTGGTTGACTCCTAAAGTTTGATCTCCTTTCCTAGTTCTGCAGGAATGTTCTAATGTACCGAACAGTTTGAGGACTGCGGCTGACAATCACCTCGATCTAAGATTCAGCGTTCCCAACAAGCGAGGGGTGGGAAGAAATACCCACCATTATCATCCTTAGAGATATGAGAACTTGTACTAGGAAGCCATAAAGAAGTATCAACAGTGGATTGATCTGACTGGGCACGGTTGACCGGTACTGTATGGGATGTTCGAAGATCAGGCAGTGCTTCAGTATTCGTACCAACGGATTCGAGGAAGCTGCTGCTGAATTTATTACAGCGCCAGTGAGATTCGGTCAAAGTGGTCCGCGAAACCCAGGAGTCAATAGTGAATTTGTCGAGGCTCATTGTTGAAGCAACACTGTAAATAGAAACTAGCTTTCGAAAATACTTTACAATACCGCCTCCTACGTATCTATCGAAGCCACATTTTCCCTTGCTGCTCCACTTGTCGTTTCCACTTTTGAACTTATTCTCGTTGGCTTTGTGTCCTACTCTGGGTGTTGTCAAAGTTCGTGAGATCACCTAAGTCATTTCCTTCATCTTCGTGAAACTACATTCTTATCCGCCTTTTGTAACCCAGTTTGATCTACGGAATATCTCTGCGTTTGAAGATCCGTTTCCGTTTCCCCACCGACGTTTACTTTTACGCTTTCAGTCAGTACGATTAACTCGCGTACATATAAATGTATATATATATATATATATATATATATATATCACGGCTGATATAATACTGAATGGCATTCTGGCGCCCTTATTTCCAGCCTTACCTGCCGCTCGCTTCTGTGATTGATCTTTAGGTCTAATTGGTCCATCCTCAATTCATATGGAATCATAGTAATTGCATTTTTCAGCACATACCACGCCGTCACAACTTTATGAGGAATGGACACGGTCCATGGTCAAGGGCTGCACTACCGCGGTTCAAACAGCGGCTGAACAACTCTTGAACTCAGACTGAACTTGCTTCAACCTGCAAGATAATTATGCTGATGTCTATATGTTTTATTCTTTATTGCCTGCGAAACCTTAACGTTCCTTCTTTAAACTTACCTCTTATGTGCCATGAATGATCGAGTCTAATATGTTGCTTGCTTTCGCACTTGACAATGAGTTCACTGCCAAAATAATCGAACCTGCAAACTGGTTTGTTTCCACGTAGTTTATGTCGCATAAAATACATTACGTCATTACCATTACCAGCATTACCAATTGAAAGTAAGCCACTAAGGGAACAGGCTTTCTTTTGTCGAAGCATTAGAGCACCCACGATAAGTATCTACAAGAAACAGAAAATAAGTTCACTGGACTACAATTTCAAACCGAGGGGCATTGACCGCTATGTGAAATTAAAAATAGATCCGTTAGTATGGGCAGAGTTACGTGAAATACCGTATCCCATAGGTGCGCTTTCTTTGTCTGTTAGTGTCATACAAAGTCTAGAGTTGGTGTATTTAAATGTTCACCCACTAGCTGACCCTAAGCACCCGTTCCACAGCTTCAGCATCTAACCATGCACTGATTTCCTTAAGCAGGTTCTTAATTACTTCATTCAACATCCTGCACCAGCCGAGGATGCCTCAATTTCGTTTGTTTATAAGTAGCGACAAATAAACTCCAAGAACGCCACGAAAGTAGCTCCCGTCTGTCCATATACCTGAACAAAA